TTGCTGTTTGATTTTGCTATAAGAATACTATACTTTTCTGCGTTTTTAACGAGGAAAACACAATAGAAATATATTATCAACGGATGCTACTTTTGACGCTATGCGATGATGAGTTCAACAGATAAGATAATTTAGCTTATGTTAATACAAATCCCTACAAATACGGGGAAGTAAAAATATATTCCGACGACAGGGGACGAATGTTGTGATGCGATGATGAGTGAGAAAGATAAGAGAATTTGTGTTTCTCGCCTAGGGAGTTGCGGGAGTTTGTCATCATTGCCTGGGGAATACGCTTTTTGTAAGCAACCTTGTTATAACAAGGGTTTGTAGGTAATTTCAATGTTTGTTTCGATGTGGTGGTTAATATAAATTGACCACTCTCACTCATAAAAATGACCACAGTTGTTTCAATATTTTGGTAAGTTAAACATACGAATTTTCGATTTAAAATTTTCACACAAGTTTTATGGATTGCATGGATATACGTAACAATAAGTCAGTGTGGCAAGTCAACTCTGCGTTATCATATGTAATCACAATATTGATAAGAACTCAGTAGGTGAGTGTGTCGCGTCGAGTATTGTACTAGGAAGTACTTAGTGTCGGTTGTACACCTGTATGGAGTGTATTCCGGTAAGATAAATGAATAGTTCTTGGAGATATGTTTGTTAAATGAATGATAAATGGGGAGCTGTTCTAGTGGTAGAGTGCGGGGCTTCGGTTCTTGAGGTCTTGGGTTCAAATCACGCCATTCACCAGTGGTTCTTATCGATAAGTGTAAAACAGTTCCGGGTTAGATTCTACTGTCCTGGGATTTTAAGTGGGACATAAAAACTGCATGTTTAATTAAATACGGGACATGTATCCCGGTGATTCAGATACAACTAGTTTGAAAACAATGTCATGCTTAAGAATCACTGTAGTTACTTATGTAGGCTTGCCTTGGTAAATAATTTCGTAATGTCTATACATTGTATTTAGATAGGAAGTCTTAAGAATATAGACTAGAGAAGTTAGAAAAAATAAATTGTGAATGTTACTGATAACCGTACTTGAATTATTTTTGATCTATTTAAGATTGTTTTGAATATTTCTAAAACAAATTTGTCGTCATAAATCAACATTTTTTTTTTTTGTGGTTTAGTTCTTAGAGTTAATGAGCCATTTACAAATCAGTCACTATGGCTGTAACGCTGAAACTTAAACAATTGATTGCATATTAAACCTTATTGATGGCACTATTGGATAGTGTTGGTTAAAATGATATTTAATTTGAATTAGAGAATAATTCCAATAATTTAAATTTATTTAGGATAAACTTTAGGCAAAATAAATACTTTTATAAGCAATCTTTAGTATATACTTTTTTAAATAGACTTCTAAATGTGCAAAAGTTTGGTTAGTGTGAATAAAGTAGAAAATAAAAGATCTAAATATGAATACATTTAACCAAGAAATTATCTTCTGCGCTCAAAGAGCTCGCTCAAAGGAACGCTAAATGTAAAACATTGGGATGATTTTATTTCAACTTGTCATGCTTTATTTAGTTCTTTGCTCTCTGAGAAAAGTTGTTGGCTTTCTGTAATTTTATATTCAATATTCCGTAAAAAGACTTATCCACCTGTGAACTTAGTGATAAATAAATCTTTGTTTATCTTTGAAGATTTTAAAGTTTATAAATATAAATTTATCTTCGTCCTTTTTGCCTCAATTTTACTGCTGAATATATTCATATGTAAAAAATTAAAGATAGGAGAAATAAAATAAGGAAGGAAGGATGGGGGATGTAAAATAATCGATACAAAGAAATAAAAATATCACTACATACCATGTTCAATTTTTTTACATTATGTGATGTATTTAAAATGTATTACACAGCTTGAAGGCATTAAGGGTAGCTAGCGATTACTACTTTTAGGCTACCTATATAAGCTTTATGGCTTATTTCATTTAAGCTGGTTTAAAACTATTTCTAATAAACAAACAAAAAAGGAAAACAAATACCCCGCCGCAGCAAACCTGCAGACTAAGCGAATTGCCATTTGCGTAATTTTTTTGTGTAAAAATCTATTTTAATAACGCTAGGTTCAAAAAGTTCCTATGTTTGCTGCTACAGGTAGGGTAATACAGTAAGGAGGGTTTCTGTGAAATATAAATAGCTAGGTATGAAATAAATAATTTGGCAAGTTTGATCGAAATATAGCCTTACATCCAATATTTTACTTATTCCCCATTAGGATGAAATTGGGATTTTTCATTTAATTTTTTTTTTAATTCCTTCGACGCCAATTACCGTGTAAAACAAATCAAGATACTAACAATTTTGTTTTTAAGCTCTAAAAATGGCTTAAAGAAAAATGTTGGAAATTCTATGTTTTGAGGTAGGCTAAAAAAATGAGAAAACATGATTTTCACCCCATAACCCCCCCCCCCCCCCCCCCCGGTAAAACCCCGTTCCTATGGTCCAATTATTTTGGTTCGCAAACTTGTACAAATAAATGTTCGAATAAACGTTTTTACCAATTCATCAAAATCGGACACCAAAACGAAAAAGTAAATCGGTCTCGTGCATAGCTCTTATCATAAGACCTATGATAACTTATTGCCTATATGGGAAATTCTTTAAAACATAAGTAAACAAAAAGGTGCATTTTTAAAGGCTGTCTCATGTTAAGTTGAGGCAGACTACCTGACCAGAGGGTAGAGCAGGACAATGGCGAGGCCGGTCCTTCGACGGACCCTCCCGACCCTTGGAGTAAATCCCATTAACCACGCTTCACTGAAAACTTCACTTAAAACCGTAAATATATTGATTAATTGAAAATATAATCAATTCGTCATATCTGAAAATAATGTATTCTAGGTTATAAAAAAACAAAATGTTTCATGTTCGTCCCATGCAAATCGGCCAACTTGAAGTATTAAAACAATCTTCTAATTTGTCTCTTGTAGTACAAAATTAATTTATAAGTCTGTATTAATAGTGCATCTATCAATATAAATAAAATTAGAGTTTTATCTGTAGGTTGTTCAGAATTATATATTTGTTAGCAGTTTTTTTTTACATTTTATACATTAAATAAGTGAGATTAATAACCATGTGGCTTAAATAACGGGGTTGATTAATCGCAAGGGCAATATGTAATTGTAAATTAAATCAAATAACTAGCCACCATCTAGGTCAGGAACCTGAGAATCAGTGTGTATCAAGTTGTACCCTACTCGAGTTTTGGTAAGGGCGTCAAAAGCCTACAATCGAGGTTTCCACTCATTAACGGCGTTTTGAATGCTGTTGTGTAAAGTAAAAAATTACAGCTACACTGGGTAATCGCGGATGTTGCTGCTATCTCGGAAGATCTTCGCAATTTCGCTTTATACGTAACAATCTAATGTGTCAAATCACATATTTTCCAATGTGTCTTTTTTCGGTTTTGACTCACCACTATTGCATTGCTGTCGCTGGACCATACCGCGAAATTTGTTTCTGAGAAGTATTCTACTAGTGATGTAACTCACCTGTTACCAACAATGTCACTTACCTGGTTCCTTTAGACAGTAGTACCATATCTCCACTGCTAAACATAGCATAGATTCACGTACGCTATGCGTAGCCTCTTAATAGTTCGGACGTCCGGTTGAAACTATGTTTCAACTATGTACCCAACTAAATTACAGCTGTTTCGGCAGGGAAAAGGGTCATCATGATCATATTAGGTCGATGATCAAAAATACTAATTATGTAGTATATACTAAATATAATAATTATATTAATATAATTAATTCGTTTTAGAACATTATAGACCATACTTCTATTATTCCTAACGCAGAGAAAGTTGAACTGTAGGGCCTAACTCACTAACTTAAAAATCTCATACCTTTTTATAATAACTACAAAATTTACTTCTTCACAATATTTAGGAGGTTTGAGGAGAAGTTCTCCTAACATCTTTTTTATTTAATGTATATTGATTAATCACCTGTTGAGCTATTATTTTAAAGGTAAGGGTCAAGTGGAGGTGATAGATTTCTTCCCCTAAAACCATCTAAATATTATGAACGAAGTATAATACAGAATATCAATTATTAGTAATTTAAAATTAAATATTGTACTTAGTTATAAGGAGAAAAGTTTGATTTAATACTTAAAGTTGGCCGATTTGCATGGGACGAAAATGAAAAATTTGGTTTTTTTATAACCTAGAATACATTATTTTTAGATATGACGAATTGATTAAATTTTCAATTAATCAATATATTTACGCTTTTAAGCGAAGTATTCCGTGAAGCGTGGTTAATGGGATTTGCTCCAAGGGTCGGGAGGGATGGCCGAGCCCCCCGAGCCATTGTCCTGTTCCACCCCCTTGGTCAGGTAGTCTGCCTCAACTTAACATGAGACAGCCTTTAAACGTATTTTAGAGTCCTCCTGTGATAGCATATCTATACGGACCTCAGGTGAAAATCAATTTCCGTCAATTTCCGCCAGTCGCGCCCAGCTTAACCGTAATCACGTCTTTCGGATTATATGTGTCCAATTTCATTCGATGTTTAGTGGTAAATATTGAAGAATACTTTAATATATAAAGTACATTTATAACAACTGTGCCATTTGTTGCTATTAGTTGGAAACAAGTGTATTTATCCAGCCGATAGTATAGATAGTGATTGTAAAATAACTTACTGTATCATTAAATTTATTCAATAATTAAATATAATTTAATTTATTATTTTATGGACTATAAAATGGGTTTGGTTGAAAACAAGATAAGATTAATTGGTCATAAATAAATAAATCACAATTTTAATGTAAAATACGGATTATATTGAAAATGTGGACCGATAAAAATTAAATGAATATAAATTGACATGTAAAGTTAATTATATTAATTATTTAGAGCATATGATAATACTTGGTTTTTCAATTTTCTTTTTTTTTATTCCTTTTTCATTCAATTTTCTTAAAAACTTCAATTTTTAAAATATTTTTTTCTCTTTTTCAGGATACAATTTGGATAGCTGCTGCTAATTTTGGTAAGACAACATTTATTGATTTTTTGTTATTTTCCGGGTGTAGCACTTTCTTGGCGTTTTAAGTTATTTCTTTACAATGCACCTCTTTTCATATTGATATAATATCACTTAAGGGTAAAAAATTGTATTGTAATACATTTAAGTGCAGCTTACCTTTTAATTCTACGAAATCGTTTACAATTGTAAAATTAAAATCAGTTTAATTTATTTTGAGGCATTTATATAATTCCAAAAGTTAGATTTTTAATTGACGGATGCCACGAAGGTCATACATGTTTCACTAAAATTGTAAAAGGATCTTCTTTTGTTCCACCATTAACAACTAAGGATAATATTGTTTACGCTTAATGTGTAATGCTTCATAAAACTTAAAGGGGTTCTTCAACAATATCCTATCCTTACTAAATTACTAGCTTCTAAAAATTACTTACAGTAATTAACATTCAAAATATTTGCTATAGTAGGCCTACCCCAAAAGTTTCACCAATGCAAATTTCTTTCGAGACCAAAGGTTTTTTTAAGTATTTTTAAGATGTCTCAAAAATTCCAAATTACCTCCTTAACAAGAAAGAAACAAACATTTGTCTAGAGCCCGAGGTTATCATGAGCGTTGTTGTTTCAAGAAACTCAGATCTTGTAATCCCAGTTTAATGAATTCTCCGCCTTCAGCGATTTTCACAACTTTTACATCTGCTTATTGGGCTTATTTATTTTTGTGTTGAAAGTTTTCAACTACTTTGAGCATACTGACTTTGAATTTACTTGGATAGCATAAATTTGCTTAGTTCTGCATGTGTAGAAATATAGCTATAATTTTATTCCGCACTCATCCTGAACTCATATTTTGGTTAAAATACTCACCGAAGTGGTGTCATCCGTCTCAATCGGTAATAGTAATAATAGTTCATAGTTCTTACTAAAATTAAAATTAAAACAGTAATCATTTCTCCAGTATACTATAGTTACACACAAGCTTTTTATAATTAAATCAAAATTGTAAAACTTAGTTTCCTAAACTTATTTTTGATATAATTTTAGCAGCCATGTAGCATAATACCTAATGCATGAAATGTAAGAAAATTAATGTCCAGTGCACATGGAAACATTGTAGGTGAGGAAGGAACCGGTGTTTTCTTTTGTTGCCATAGAAACCAGTTTATATCATACAATTTTTAAAATGTCCCATCTCAAATTTGTAAATATACAGCGTGGGGGATTTAAGTGATACAAATAAAAACTTTTGCAGGGTTCATGATATTTTGTGTAAAATCCAACCCTATTAGGTACAGTAGATTTTGTAACTCTGAAAAAAAAAGTACAAAAACAACAACTCCTTAAAAATATTATTTGTAATATCTTAATTAATTCTGACGAAAGATCACAAATAGAACTATATTCGTATAAAAGATACGAAAACATCCCAGTATTCCCTCCAGCTGTCCATTCAGCTTTGTTCAGACTTTGTATTGTAGTTTTGGTTCCATCGACTTATGACCAGCGGCGATGTTCTAAACTTAATACAGTTTATTTTAGGTTAAACTGTAAGCTGGTTTTAGTCAGTGGAATATTTGTCTACATAAACTAAAAATGTGTAAATATTTGATACGGTAGGCTTAACACCGAGCAAACATCGAATATGTTTTTGATGAAGTTTAGTGTGTTTTAATTTGCTAGCGCAATACTGAAAAATTAATTGAAGTACTTTAAAAATCCAAAATTAAACAATCTAAGCCATACACACTATTTAAATAATTTTACATTTGTCATTGTCGGTCAGTTAAAGGTAATGTGACCGTATTTCGCATGCAATTTAAGTTTTGGTTCTTCGATTTGTATTTCTTGTAATTTTTCAACCTTTAAACTATTGAAACCAGGAAACTATTTAAACCATAGCTTTCATCACAACATTCTAACTGAAGAATAATGTTAAATTAACTTAAACATAAATCATTTCTGACATAGTTTAGCATGCATGAAAAACACACATCAAAACGTGTGTCAATACAATTTCAGGATCAGCTTATGTTTTCAAAAATATCTTTGACATTTAATAGCTTAACTTTTGTTAAACGTGGTCAAATTACTAACGAGGATTACAATAGCGTTTAGTCGATTACACCATAGTAAGCTTAGTTCCGCAGGTAAAATTACGTTTTGTCGTTTTAATACGTTGGGATTACGGATTATATGGAGCCCTATAGAGTTTTACGTCCGGTTTTAAAGCTGTATCAAGTATGATTACGTTGGTGAAATAATCGATGTTGCTCGATAGTTTACTAATTTTCATGTGTTGATGATTTCTTTAGAAACACAATAGAAGTCACAATTTATTTGTCGCAATATTGCGAAAATTTCTGCTAGCATTTTCGCCGAATTTCATAAAAAGCTTCAAGTCAAGAAATGATGAAAGAATGCACTACTATGAAATTAGTTTGATTTTATGACATCATATAAATGTTGGCTTTCAAACTCTTTACAAACAATTTATACAATTAAAAGATGTTTAAAGATAATAACAATATTGCTTAAAGATTCTATTTCTAATATGATTGATTATTTATTTCACTGCCATATGTTTTTGGACTTATTCTTGTTTTTTATCACATATTAAAATAATCTGTAGGCCTAAAGGTAAATTAAACAATTCACTTGATACTAAACAAAACTCCGTGTTGAAATCAATTTTATCCATTATAAGCGTACAACTTGTGCATACATAGTTTTGAGCTATTGGTTAGAATTTTAGGAAACTTCCTCAATACATAACTTACCGTACAAAACAATAGTTTTACTGTTCGAAAATAACATGGTTTAAACCCTTATCAATATCGCCCAATCACCAGGTATGATGGGCACAACTAGGCGTATTTTAAACCATTAACGAATTAAGTTTAATTAGCTATAAGTGTTGATGTTTTTCTTGCTTTGTACTGCCTAAGATTATCTTTTTTATCCAAAACCATTGGACTAAAGCCAACGATGAAATATAGTTAAAACCCAGTTTTGAACCTTTAAAAACATTTGGATATTTCCAGGATTGAACGGGGAACCTTCAATACTCTTACCCTGTGACATAACTCTAACATATCTCAATAATTCAGCTATATGATGTTTATATCGAATTATATCCTTTAAAATGGTTGTACACTGTTCTAACGATAATATCAATATACACATATTTACTTATGACATAACCTATCAAAAAAATTATACGATAAATATATATTAGTAGAGTATGTTTCCGTAACCGATACCGTACTCTGTGAACGACAATACAACAGTTCTTGATAAGTGAACATGGAATACATAAATATGAGGACAAGGAATATTACTTTAGAAACTAGACCATCTCCTCCGTTCCGTACAATAAAATGCTCCACTCCCAGACACACTTAGGTTGATATTCCACCATCATAAATCTTAGTTCTTTATTTAATAATGTTACAAACCAACTTAATATAACTTTATATTAATATACAATATTCTTTAAAAAAATCTGAATATTTCCACGGGTTTTGTTAATGGGGAAAATTAAATATAGGTCTATACGTTCGCTAACGGAAATAAAGAAACGTATTTAGAAAGTAATTATTTATTAGGTTAGCAAAGAATGTGTATATTATTAAACCAACATTTAAACAGTAACATTAATCAAATAAATTGTGTTAATTTCCCTGTCTCTATGTTCTATATCCTTTATTCTTAGTGTACTATAGTAGTTTACGCAACGATTGCGTAAAGATAGTGTTGACGATACGAGTAGAAAATTTAAGGCTCGTACCATAGATAAAGTAATCTTCATCTATGGTACGAGCCTTAGCAAGTGCCTTAAAAACTTCTACGAGTGTCGTTAGCATTATTTACGCGAGTTGCGTACACTACTTTACCTACGACACTACTAAAAATCACTACTCATAACTTCTAAGATAGATTATGTTTTCGTTTATAACCTCTCATTGCCACTGACAGTGATGCAACGAAACATTACACCAAACACTAATTGCACGACTCAACAATTAAACTGGCTTAAACAGCTGATTAGTTGAAGTTCGAATCGTTACAATTTTACTTCTTATCTCTTAATTCTTGAACCTCATTGGTCCGTTACTCGAGTGGTTTTGAGTAAAACTATGCTGTTATGAAAGTTAACAATGCTGTTATGTAACAATTTTCAATTCGAAGAACTTAAATGAAACTGCTACTCTAAAAAAAAAAAATGTCAGTAAAATTATTTACTAAATCAATCATAGCCTATGTGAACCAAGTTAATCATTGCAAATGGCATTCATTGTATAAATGTAACCTAAGCTGTAGATTTACATTCATCATGGTATACCCGCACTGTATTCATGCATAATCTACCACGAATGCATGCGCTGGGGATTAGCTTGGTTAAATATAGTCATTAATTATGTTGTTTGCTATGTAGACTACTCACTGTGTTCACCTGTATGTGAATCAATATGTTTTCTTACCAATTGAGTTCTGTAGGTTTTTTCATGAATTAGTGGAGTTGATGATGGAATACTAAAAAGTTTATGTTGACAAAGAGACATACCTTCTTTGGTTAGTTAGATAAATGAACCTACAGTTCAGTATAGTACGATTTTATACAAACAACCACGCTACAGTATGTTATTACATTGTGAAAAGTTATCGGTGGTTTTAAGAATTTAAATCCGTGATTTTAGTACTACGTACCTACTTTAACGAACTGTAAAGAAAAACAAATTTGGTAAATTGGTGCTTTTTTGTAGTTTAGGAAAACATCAAGCCAACCATAAGTCAACAACCATAAAAACCATTAAAACCATAAAAACCACAATATAGTATTTAATATTTAAAACCCGTGGTATAAAACCATAATAACCATAAAAAACGCGTCTACAAGAAGAATTTTAATTTAATAAAAACTATTTACTATTTTAATATATTCCGTTTACTGACATTCTTTATTCGCTCTGAAAATCTTCGAAACGTTTGATAAATTGAATGTTGGA